CCTAAGATCAAAGGGTCTTACGTGAGCCCTGGGAAAGGGTTGTTTGGCCCCCAAAGGGGTCGCGATCCGCAGGTTGAGAACTGCTGCTCTACAGTCAACATTTTATCATTTTTGCTTTCTTCAAGTTCTTACCATTATATCTTGGAACCAACATGATTTGTATGCTTCCACTTTCTTGTTCTCTTGTTTTGAACAATGTGATTTTTAAGGTCCTTCACTTGTGAGAGTTGTGATTCTATGTGCTGAGAGACCTTTTTACAGGTAATAGGGCTTGGGGTAGATTGGAATTCTGCTGGCAGTACTCTTCGCCACACTCAGCATAAATCTGAACTCTGGTTATAAGGCACTGATTCCTGTAGAATCTGGCCCTGCCCCACTTTCCTCCTACTTCCTCCTCACATCTCCTCCCACTTCTCACTTTGCTCACGGGGGGCAGCTACACAGACTCTCCTTGTCTTCCTCCTACACAGTAAAACTATTCCTTCCTCAGAGACTTTGCTGGTTTCTCTGTCCCCCACAACGCCCACCTCCACCCTCTTCTCCTAGTGTCCACCTAGCCCATATTCCCTAGATTTTGGATCTCTTACTGACGCCCACCTAACAAATAATACAACCCATTGCCATCTCCTCCATTCTGACTAATTTTTTACGGGTGGGGCAGGGGGTGTGTGCAATCAGTCGGTTCCCACGACAGCGTGAAGCACTGCCCAGTTTTTGCCATCTTTACAATTCTTCTTATGTCTGAGTCCGTTGTTGCAGCCGCCGGGTCAAAGCAACTGGTCCAGAGCCTTCTTCCTGTTTCCTGCCCTTCTGCTTTACCAAACACGATGTCTTTCTTCAGGAACTGATCTGACTTGACAGCATGTCCAAAATATGTGAGATGAAATCTCACCATCCTTGCCTCTGAAGAGCGTGCTAGCCATACTTATTCCAAGTGAGAATTGTTTGTTCTTTTGGAAGTCCACGGTACCTTCTTGGTTTTAAACCATGTAATGTTGCCCTGTTCTGTTCACTCGGCTTCTGGATCCATGTGCATGAGCACCGTGAAGGGTTCTCAATTCCCCTTCTTCTCAAGGCTGTCCTAGTGCCTTTGCAATGCTGACTCATAGAAACCCTCCATAGAGTTTACAACACTGCACATCCTTAAGGGAGCAGATAACGTCCTCATTCTCCTATTACTCGTGGGTTGGAACCACTGATGGTGCAGTTAGCAACCCAAACACCACCAGGCCTCTTAGCCAACTCCCACAGGTTACTCTATTCCCTTGTCCGGTTTCAGTGCACCTCTTTCTAATCTCTGACGTGTCTCATTTGTTGGTTTACTTTTTGTCTGTCCTTCACAGGAATCTAAGCGCTATGAGAACAGGGGCCTCAGTGCTGGAACAGAAAACATTTAAACAAATAACTGTTGAATAAACAAACAAAAGAAGCAATGGGTACAAGTACCTTATGTCCAAAATTCTAATCAAAGGAAGTATGCTAACATTTGGCAACATACATAAAACAGTACTTCACATATTCTAGAGAAGTGAAGGGAAGTACCATTATTTGGTTGGGGCCCATTTCAACTAAGAGGAAAGTTGGGGGAAAGTTTCCCGAGAAGGTTCCGCATCCAAAGGAAGATGTACACATTTCTCTGTAGACAGTGTGCCTCTGAACCATCTGTTTGAAAATATTAAAATAAGAATGGAAATCTGCAAGAACTCCATAAACACATAAACAGAAGCCCTTCTAGGCATTTGGTACAAGAAAGATGGCGGGGGGCAGGGGGTGGTGGTTGTCATTTCTATACATGGACACCTATGAATGCCTCAACTCATTCAGGAACTGGCTCTGAAAGCTTCACCACATTGAGAAGCTGTCTTTCAAATCAAATCAGGGGTAATTTCATGGCGATGTGGTACAGAGATGATTTCCTCTCCCCGTGTATGCCTAGGTCATTCTGCTTAGGTCATTCTCCCTCAGTCAAGAAGTGGTTTACCAGCCTCTGAGTGCCCACTGAGCGCTCACACACGGGGTATGTTTTCACGAGGCCAGTACCACTTCCTCATCGTCCATCTTCCAGCAGGTCTAACTACGTCTGACGACCTTTAGTGTTAGGTCGTTGAGTGAAGTTTAAAAGCTTTAAAAAGTGTAAAAGCTTCAAAACTTGAGATGTATCTCCCCCAATAAGAAGAAATGTCTAACATCAACTACGATGAAGTAGCCAAAGCTCATGAGATACGAAGAAAAATGGAATGAACTAAAAAAAGATTTTTTTATTTTATGCTTATTCACTAAATGTGGTCAGCAGGAGTATTTATTACAAAGACCATACATTTACTATTGAACAGAAAAGGAAAATGCTGATAAAATTTTTAAAAGAATATCCTATAAAATTCAATTACTGAGAATTCTAGTTATCCAAGTTGTACAGGGTAAGCAAATCGAGTCTAGGGGCTGCCAGCCTGTGTTTGGAATCCCTCGTCTGTATTTTCATTGTTGTGTGACCTGGGCAAAATAACTATTCTGTGCTCTATGCCTCGGTGCCTCCCGATAAAGGTAATAATGGAATTTTTGAATTAATTTAGATAATGTATGTGAAGTGTTTACAATGGTACCTAGCACATCAGGCACCACCAAACTGCTTGCTTGTCTTATTCCTTCCCTCGGTGCGATACAGGCAATGAATCTGGTCCTTCGAGCCATCACTCCCCATGTGGTGTATCGTAGTTTTAGACTCTGCCTGTGCTATGCTCTCACTTTGGGGGGAGTGCTCTGTGACAGGATTACAGTGGGCCAAGCCCTGACCTTAACAAAGAAGGTCGACCAAGTCACACCCTCTGTTTCCTGGGGGTGGGGGTGGGGCTCAGGATCTTTAAGACTACTTTACTAGAGGGTGAGATGTAAAACACCATCTTTCTTTTTTCTTGTGGGGATGGTCAGTGAAGAGACAAAAATGAAAGCTCTGTCAAAGCTGTTTCATAAGAGCCATCTGGGACCCAGAGAGAAATCCGGGGAACACTGGAGGAGGTGTCCCAGGTGTCTCTGTCTCAATTGATGGAGGCTGCCGAGACCAGATGTGCCAGAGACAGTGGTCATGGAGACTATGGGACAGAGCCAAGTAACACTATGGGATTGCAAGACAGAGGAACGGGCTGGCTTCCTGCCCCATGGAGGCAAAGGCCTTGCAAAGGGATGACGTGGCCGAGAGGCTGAAGACCAAAGAGAGGCATGACTGCTGGCTGAGGAGAGGTGATGATGTGGTCCAATAACTGAACCCTTACTGTTCGCTGATCCTGATTTGTGGTAACCTATTAACTTCCTTCACTAGCCCTTTTAATGGTTAGTGTTGTCTGTGGGTTCTTGTGTGGCCATTGCAACAAATGATCAAACCCAGCAGAGAAACAGAGTGCCATGAGAAGAATGGTTGGTGTCAGAACAGGTTAAAGAAGGAGGGAGGGGAAGGCTATGTGATCCCTGTCTCGTGGCAATAAGAAAGCCAGAGAAGGTCAGACATGGCCAATCCCATGCCAGGTATCATTCTGCACCTCCAATTAATGAAAAAATACACTTGTAAGTTTGCCTTTCCATTTTGACCCTAATTTTGATCCTGACAACAACCTAGTGGCATTGACATAAGCCATTTCTTCTTTATTTTGCAGATAATGAGTCAGGAGCTCAAGGTCATGTTGCTGATGGATGGCTGAACCCAATCTTGAACACAGTCTCTTTAGACATCTTTTAACATCTCCACTGCCCACTATGATCTGACCACAGTCATTAAGTCCAACTTGGAAACAGGTGTTAGCTTTTAAACAGACTCCGTTTTTCCATGCTTCAGATTGAAAAGCCTTTGTTAGGCGCTGCAGAAACTAGACTGTTTTCGGAATGAAAAACCCAAAAGCAAAATAGAACCAACATTAGGTGAATTTTCTATTTGAATTTAAAACCATCTTCTGTGACATTTCTAACCTAGGCATTGAAGCATTACTTGCACACGCATGTATGCATGCACATGCGGGCATGCGCGCGCGCGCGCACACACACAAACCCACATAGATAAACAAACTTAGATGACTAATTATTTTCCTATCTCATCTAAACAAAACATCAAAAGGAAACAAACAATCCCGGAGAAGAGTACGGCACCAGCTTCGCAGACAGTCCTAGGACGCTGGTAGCTCTCCAGGTAAAGCCGAACTATTCTCAACTGAGCATCCCCTGGGTTCTCAGGGCTCTAGTTCCTCTTAGAAGAGGCTTAGCCTTGGCGAGGGTAATGGTGATGCTTTAAGGTAATTACTGGGAAAAATAATAAACATCATTCCGTAGTTTATTTAATACCGTGGTATCTTTCCCATCAATATCCTCTTTTATTTTGCCCATCACAGAGAGAAAAGCAGAGAGGCTTAATTTGATTTACAGAGGGAAAAACAACGCTGGCTGTACTATTTTGTGTGTGTTGCTGTTAGAGGAGGGGGCGGGGTGCAAGGAGAAAAGGTCACCCAGCTGGTTTTCATCTGCATGCCATAATTCTGAGTAGTTTACACTATTAAACTCCAAAGCCCTGCTTTAATCTTCACTGCTACAGCATGCCTTATTACAGAGTCTATCATGTCGCATCCCTGATAGGGTTTCAGACATTGGCAAAGCACCATCCCCCAGGCTGGTCCTTGCCATATGGGCAGTAAAGGCATCCAACATTTTTTCATTGGCGCCTGCATCATTATGTTTTGTCACCAATGGTTTCTCGGGTTTTCAGTAAATTGCTGCGTATACTGTGGTTTGGAGCTGCTGAGATGGTCAACATTTAGTTGTACACAGCCGAGTCCTCATTAGGGCTTCCCTGTCCTGCTGGCCTGGGGGAGATGGCCTCACATCTGCAGGGTGAGGGGCAGGGGTGAGTCCATAAAGGAAAAAGAAAACAGAAAGCAGAGGCAACCCACATGGTGAACAGCCGCTCTCACACGAGTTCTCACACTAGCTCAGGACTGGGCAGGGAGGGGCGGAGCGAAACCCACCTGGTCTGTCTTCGCTTTGTGGGTCACATCTTCGGCACAGTTCTGGGATGGTCTTGAGTGATGTGATGGAATACTGAATGGGAGGCCAGAGGAGAAAGAGCATAAAACAGCTGCATTAAAATGAGAGTGCACTGGATTCACTCAACGTCCCTTGTGGCGCATGGAGACAGATGAAATGTAACATCCTATCATTTGATCAACCCTTGGACCCACTTTAAAGTTGTTTGTTTCTGATCCTTCCTGCCATCGTTTCCTTCTCTCTTTTTCACTGTAGTATTCCATCGGCATTACATTCTGAAAAGGGCAGAACAGGGACAGACGGTAGACGGGTGGTTGGTTGCTTGGGGCAGGGGTGGATGGAGGAGACTGACTGCAAAAGTGACAAGAGGGTGGGATGGAAAAGTGCAAGTAGCTCTTTGACTGCACATTTGTCAATACTTAAAAAAATGTATCCTGAAACCGGGCAAGTTTTGCTCTATGTCAACTATTCCCTCCATCAAGCTCATCAATTCCCCCCTTTAAATCAACAAGTGTCCTCATGGCAACATAGTGCCCAGAATCATTTTATTTCTCTAGCCCACTTTTTCCCTTCCTTTATAACCTAGGACAATGTGAGTTCTGTGATTTTTAAATATATATTTTACCTAGCATATGAAAACCTTTTTCAAACATTGGGAGTTAATACATGCATCATATCATTCCATAGTTCAATCACATGAAGCAGTATTGTATAATTGCTACCAATATCATTCTCAAAGCATTATTTTCCTTCTTGAACTCCTTGACATCAGCTCCCTTCCACCACTACTCCCACCACTCAACTGAGGTTTTTTTCTGTTTTATTTTGTTTTGTTTGCGTGTGTGTGTGTGTGTGTGTGTGTGTGTG